CCCTCCCTCCCTCCCTCCCTCCCTCTCTCCTTCCCTCTTTCCTCCTATATAGCCTTGCCTGTGAGTAGTAGAATCGTCACTGCTCACTGTACAAATAAGGTCCTCACACGCTAAAGAAGGTCTCGTGAGTATATTGTGGACTGGGGTCATGTTGGACAAATCCTTAAGGGAGTGTCCCCCTAACTGCCTCTCCTCTTCTCCTTCCTCACAGGGTACAAGGATCAGGGTATCCCACAGCAGCTGTGAGCCTACAGGACCTACCAGGGAAATCCAGGGTCCTGCGAGGGCTGTGTCAGGTGGCTTCGGGCACAAGGACCTTCACATGTTCTCTTCTGCCGTTTCTCAGATCGGGGTAGAAAGAGAGTATTTCAAAAATATTATTTATTTCGAAAAACACACCTGCTTTTCTCAGCAGGCTCTGAGGCCAGCTTCTCTCTCTGCTCCAGAGGCACATGGGAGGAACAGGGTCAGAACTTCAGGACTGGGCTAGCTGCGGGATACTGACCAAGCACCAGGGACGCTGGGCATGCCCATCTGACTGCCCGCTGAACAGGCACCCAAGCCTGTCGGGCTGGGCTGCCATAGGCCCTGTCGGGCAGGGCTGCCATAGGCCTGTTGGGCTGGGCTGCCGCAGGCCCTGAGCAGGTCATCAGACACTCTCCCAGGCATTAGGACTTCATGGAATACTTCCGCTGGGTCCTCATCCCCTCATTCAATCATGTGGTTCCTGCATCTGCTCTGTGGGCTCCTGGGGGACAGTATCAGGGTAGAGGTTGCAAGGTGGCCAGGTGGTAGCCCAGCATGGAAAGGTTCCTGGGTCCCCACAGGTGTCTGATGACACCCCAGCCTCATAGTTGCTGGGTGTGCCTGTGTCCTTTGCTTCCCAGAGGCGAGGGTGGCACCGGCTCCACCTCTGCTAGAGTTCCAGATGTTTATATGCAAAATGACCAGGTTGAGTTGTGAGTGGCTGCAGACCAGCAGCCTCGTTGGATGTATTTACTACTGTTTCTGGTCCTCTCTCCTTCTGACATCCACGTGTTTCCAAATCCAGATGGTTTGGTTTGAGGAAGGTGACAGAATCCATTCATTGTTATTTCCTAACACCCAAGCTGAGTCTGGGCTTCCCACCCACCGCCAAGCAAGCGGATGTCTCTAGAGAGACCCGTGCAGAGTCAGCTGTCTTGAGACCCATGAACTGTAAAACTGCCTCGCCTGTTCAGGTCTCCTGAGCAAGTCCTGGGGGACAATGGAGACTCGTCTGCATATGAAGTGTGAGAAGAGTGACCTGGAATTCATACATGCTGCAAGAAGAGGCAGTGTGAGGCTGCCGCTATTGGCACGACTTGCGGACCTTGGTGCCCCATTAAGCAGCAAGCCTGGGCGTGATGTGCCAATACAGGGTTAGATCCTTAATGGGAGGAGAAACCAACAGAAGGTTTGCGGGCACCAGTCTGAAATTAAGAGAAGGCGATCCAGAATTACAGCGATGACGCGGCTGTTTGTATCCCTCTTCATTCCCGCGCTCACGTAGGAAGCGCTAACGTGTGGGACAGGCCCCGAGCTCAGTTCCCAGCCTCACTGGCCTAAAGCCGTCCACGGGTCCCTCTTGGAGAATCTCTCCCTATCTAGCTGAGGCTCTGCCACAGCATGGCCAGGGCTAAAGAAAGCTGCCCACTTTCTGCCTTGGTGGATGGGGGCTCCTGGGAAGCAACTCCCATTTCCCTGGGGTTCCAGCCCTCCTACCAGGCTTCTTAATTGCAGTCTTTGGGAGCAGACCTCCAAACTAGACAGCCCCTGACACCATGAAGAGATGTAATCTGTGGCGTCCTCACTCCGGGCTCTGACTCTGGACCAGTTTGCCTGTCCTACCCTTGTATTAGTTTCTTCCAGGGCTCTGTGGGATCAAGTCTCACCCTTGAACACCTGCCAGGGTCCTGTATCTTCCATGTTTACTTCTGTTGCTTCTGTGTGTCTGCAGGCCCTGTCTTGGGCTACCACTCTGGCAGATCACTGCTCTCAAGGGAGCTACATCAGGTAGCAAAGCTGTACAGATATCCATGACACAGGGAAGTGAATGGTCGAGTCCTCCCGTGCTGCCAGGCCACAGCCCAAACACACACATATAACCAGTGATGACAGCCCTTGGCAAGAGCGGCCCCCAGAGTGAGGGAGAAGTCTATTTGCCTGGTTTGGACTGGGGGTGGCTACTGGGGGAGTTGAGAAGAGATAGCAATTTGTATCGCTTGTTTAGTGACATGAGCCAGCCTCGAGTGGGACTTTTCTGAGTGACAAGTGTCACCGTGAGTTCCAGTGTGGGATGGCTTAATACAGGGGTTTTCAAGCTTGGAAAGTTGTCTCCTTAGCACCCCCCTCTCCAGGTGGCTGATGTGGGTAGACTTAGGAGCCCCCAGAATAGTGCTACAAACAGCAGCCCCCTGGTGAGGCCTAACTTTACCATAATTGTTCTCAGACAGTGGACAGGGGCTAATTCCCTCCACAGTCCAAACTGACCACTGGATCTAGGTGACCAGAGTTCATTTACCACCAGAGATCTAGGGAGCAAGGCCATCAAGCCATAAAGTGCTTAGGGGCCACAGGTCCTTTATAGTGACAAAGCCCCTAGATGGCCTAACTCAGGGCTCCTGTCCCAACCTTGGGAAAGAGTTCAGAAGCATATTCTCTGGCTCTGAGTGCCAGGGGCAGAAATCACAGGCACACAGAGAGCATCCTGGTGTGTGAGACATGGCCAGGGCATCATGGTCAGAGTGGCCATTTCTCCCCCCACCCTGGGACCCTGGAACAAGAATGAGGCACCAAGTAGCCTGAGTGTCCTAGCTTCATTTTGCCGCTGGGATAAAATGTGGGGACAAGAAAGCAACATGCAGGAGGGAAGGTATCTTTCTGTTGCTGCCTTGATTTCCTTTTTTGCTTCTGCAGGTGATACACAGTTTATCACCGCAGAGTCGGGGAGTAGCTAGCCACACACCCACAGTCAGCAGCACAGAGAGAGGACGCATCCGTGCTGTTTGATCTTTTCGCACCCATGTAAATTTACAAAGCCCAGGTCCACGAAATGGTGCCACCCACAGTCAGGGTGGTTGTTAACTTCAACTAGCTATTTCAATTAACAACTAAGAATTGCTCAATTAACAATTAAGATAATCCTCCCCAGACATGCCCACAGGCCAATCTGATCTAAATAATTTCTCATTAAGACATTTCCAGGGTGATCTAGATTTTGTCAAGCTAAAATCAAGCAGTGGTGTGTAGTGTGTTGTGGAGATCACTGGGGACCCTGGACTGTGGCCCCCATGGCATTAGCCACTCCCAGTTTCAGACTGACCAAACTGCTGCCCTTGCCTGGATCAACCCTCCAGAAGAACTGGAGAGAAGAGAAGGACGTGACAGAGACTTGGTCTACTCTCTGCCCCCAGGCCCCAGCAAACAGTCTCCGCAGTAGGCCTGGCCCAGGTGTTGCCCAGAACGGTTCATCTTCACTGTTCTTTGAGCTGCCTTCAGGGAGGGGTTTAGTTAAATGTTCCTGTGGAGAGCAGAGATTCTCCCCCAGACACACACCCCTCAGGAGTCACAGGGAGGGAGAATGAACCTCTTCAGAAGGCTGGGGTAGTGTTTCCCCCTCTGCCTTCCTGAATTTTTGACCTCATCTGCCCTCAAAGCCATGCCTCCTGGCTTCCACGCACCCCTTATGGAGGGTGGAAGCCGATGGCAGCTGGCACAGTTGGTGCTGGGAGCTGCCTGGTTCATGGGATCCAGTTCCTGCGTTCCCTCACAGGACCAAGGCTGCACTGATGCATGATAAAATTGTGGGGTGGTGTAGGAGGCTGGGGGCTGGGAAGCAGAGAGGAGAACTCAGCTAAAGGAGACACAGAAAATAAACCACATGGCTAGCGTGTTCCCTAGACTGAAAAGGACCAAGATGTTCCTATGAAAAATCATGTGTACATCTCAATTGCTGGGCTTAAGGCTAGCACACAGTGGCTGAAACCCCAAGACCAGGAAAATCCCCCCCCAAAGGTCTAAGGTTCCTGAAAGCAGAATGATAGTGGGCCTTTTACCTCAAGATGCAAAACACACTTATCTTTCTCTAATCCTTCTTTAGCTTCTCTCTTCCTTGCTAGTCCGGGCGGATAGCGACCTTCACACATGCCTCCAGCTTATGTGAGGCTGTCCAGTCTTTAGTGATGTGTATCATTGTTAGAGACCTGCATGAAGAAAGCATGGGCCATGCTGGGAAGCCAGAAAGGCATTGGTAATGGCTCCCTTCTGGTCTTTCTCACACCCGCTGGATCATGTTCTAACTGCATTGTAGGGATCAAAGGGGAGCTTTGGAAACCCCCAACTTCACCGGTCATTGTGTCCCATTGCTGGCCTTCTCTGTGGTTTAAAGAACTAACTGTAGCCACTTGGTCACTTAGTCCCGGGCAGAAGTGTGCCCGATGCAGACCAAGGTTTCCCCCTAGTGGCGGCAGGAAGCCAGGACACCATCTATGGGCCTGGGGGTGGGGTCCACTGGCCCAGCTGTGGGGTTCCGCAGTTGGTAAATGTTACTTCAGTGTTAAAAATGCTCAGGTCCTGAGCTCAGATGAAAGATGCCCTGCAGTACCCAGCTTCCATCAGTGACAGCAAAGTGGGAGAGACCCTTTCTTCAAGGACCAGCTGCTCGATATCTTTTGGGAGAGTTCTGTGCCGAGGTTGTAGGGGACCTGGAGATCATCTTGGGCAGCGGCAGGGACAGAGTGCTGTGAAGAGGCCAGCAGAGTGCTGAGGGAAAGGTTCAGAGCTTGCAGTCTTCCTTTTCTTCCTGTCAGCCTTTGAGAGCTTCCGAATGTTCCTGAGTACGCGGAGGTGTGATTTCACTCAGAGCATGACCCAGCCTCAATCCCATGATGCACCACGACAGAATGGATCCCAATTAGAGTGGTCCCAAGTACCCTCCATGTCCACGACAGTATAGGAATAAAGCCAGTCCTTCATTTCCCCCCAGTCCTGCCAAAGCCAGAGGTTTCCAAATGCAGACCCACCCACCCGGGCGGGGTGGCATGTGGACCTCACTACTCCAAAAGGCTGGCAGCCCCAGAGCTGGGAGAGTCAGTTCCTTCTGGCAAAACGAACACTGGTCGGTCCAGCATGCTCCAACCCCCTTCTACACCCCACCCCGTCCCAGGGCAAGTGACCTTTCCTGGGGAGACCCAGAGAAGTGCCTCTTTGCCCCAGACAGGTCACCAAAGGTCTAAAGAAATGATTCCAACAACGTTAAGTCTGGGACCCAGTGAGTTTATGGGGTTACTTACTGGAGCATGGATGACTCTTGGTAAGCTATGTCACAGAAGCCCTACCCCAGCATGGCAGACGCCTCAAGAAAGCTGTGTCACCACTGTCCTCATCCCAATCAGTCACACGTCCCCAGCCGCATCCCCTATGCACACCGGTTCCTCTCTCTTATGGGGTCTTTGGGTTCAGGATCCCCACTGCACCAAATCCAGATCCACTGAAGTACCGCGGTCCAAGAGTGGTCCTATGTGGGAGTGGCAAGGAGGGTGTGGTGGCCTCTTCCTGGGGGCCTTTCTCGAGTGTCAGACAGCACTTTGATTTTCTGAACTTCTCCTGCACTGCCTGTCCCAGCCCAGGAGCGAGCAAGGAATAGAGGAGGAGGAAAGTTTTGATCGGGGAGAAACCATGATGGGGCTTGTGACTAACTTCTGCAGGCTTCCATGGAGCCAAAGCCGGCTGACCTCACAGGCGGTATTCCGTGGAGCCGAAGCTGGCCTTCCGCACAGGCACAGTTGAACACTTTCGCACAGGCTGCTCTTTTGTTTTCAGCAACACATGAAGACCCTGGCTGTAT